AGACATTGAGGTGCTGGAGCGTGTCCAGAACAGAGCAAAAAAGCTGGTGAAGGGCCTGGAGAAAAAGCCTTACGAGGAGCAGGTGAGGGAGCTGGGGTTGTTTAGCCTGGAGAAAAGGAGGCTGAGGGGAGACCTAGTCACCTTCTACAACTACCTGAAAGGAGGTTGTAGCCAGGTGGGGGTTGGTCTCTTCTCCCCAGTAACTAGCAACAGGACAAGAGGAAACAGTCTCAGGTTGCGCCAGGGGAGGTTCAGGCTGGACATTAGGAAGATCATCTTCACTGTAAGAGTTGTTATGCATTGGAATGGGCTCCCCAGGGAGATGCTGGAGTCATCGTCCCTGGAAGTGTTCAAAAAACGTTTAGATGTGGCACTTCAAGACATGGTTTAGTGGGTTTAGCGGGCATGGTGGCGTCAGGTATACGGTTGGACTTGATGATCTTTGAGGTCTCTTCCAACCATAATGATTCCATGATTCTATTTGTTAGTGATTTTATATTCTTCTCATTGATTGCATCTACCTTCCTCTGCTTCTTAAGAATCAGCAACTTCTATTTTAAAAACTGCAAGCAGCCATTCTGAACTTAGGTAATTTTAAATTTACCGCTTTTTCACAACTAGAGACGGTATGCACCTTAAGTGCTTCAGAACCTACTAGAAATTCTGTTCCAATCTAGTTATCAAAACTCATTTCTCTTCAAACTTATCTTCCATGGGTGCAATTTTATAAACTTCATGCACTACAAGCCAGAGTTTGGCTTAGTACATGTTATTCGTGCAAAATTAAGTCAGTTCCCAATGACTTATAATTGATATGCAAATTTCAGCACCGATTTTCTCAATAAGTTTTTAACAAAAAACAAGTGGAAAGAAATCTACTTGAGAAAGTCCCTGGTAAGATACAACTGTGACAAATAAACTACACTTAGAGCATTCTAACTTACATTTAATAAAGTTATTAAATGATGCAACAAGTTATAACACCATTTCTATAAAGGATATTCCATTTCAGCTCTGATATCATTGAGACGATGTGACAGTTCAATTAAGTCTTCTTCTTTGTTCTCATCAAACACTTTCAGTTGAATATCAAGCTCTTCATTATCTTTATCTTTCAAGACCTATTTTTCAAGGCATAATATATCTTAATTTTCCCTTTTTTAAACCAAGAATTCTCCCCCTTTCAAAGATTACACATGACAAAAAATAAGATATCAACCTTTGGAACAGGAGTAAGCTGCAACTCAGTGCCTAGAGTTTCTTACTATGATTGTACAGCTGAGAAAAATTAAGGCAAAATATCATCAAATACAGCAGGTATGAGATGCAGAACAAACATGAAGCCTTCTAACTGAGTTGAGGTCTCTTAATGGGACACAGTCAGCAGGTTATGCTTGTTAATGTCAGAGTTTCTTTAAAAAACAGCATAAGGATATTTCAAAGCATTAACTAAAGTGAACTAAAGAAGCATAAAGTGTAAAAAAGATATGCTTACAATTTCTGTTAAGTTAATCTAGACCATAGCATAAAAACATCCACAGTACATTGAGAAATACTTACAAGAGAAGTAAAAAACAAAACAAAAATTAGTACTTGGAGCAGGTCAAAATTTGTTTTTCTTCTAGGAAATACAAGCATTTTCTCTAATAGACTTAAGAACCAAGTTTAGTTTGCTACTAAGCAAATCACAAAAAAGGAAACTAGTTCAAACGCCATTAGTGTGAACACACTCCATGCTTTAAATGAAAATTGGTCTGGCATTGTCCTAACTGGATATGCAGAAACTGAATGGAAATTGTCTATGTTCTCCACAAAAGTAGAAACTCATACCAACCCTAATGTTTGAAAACCAGAGGAGGCTACTGTGAACCTGCACAGATTAACACAGAAATATAGATCTTCCTCCTGATTGTTTTTGTTCAAGAAACTCTCATTTCAAAACTCTAAATTCCTAGAAAGTTTACCCCAAGCATAGATATGAGCAATAAGTATTCCTAAGATGCTTTATCATTAAGAAAGTCGCTTTCTAATGCAAATAAAAAAAAAAAACACCCACACCTCTTCTACCTTGGACATTCATTCCCTGCAGAATTAATAATCTGAGTTCAATGTGTATGTTATAATTAATATCTTACAAATATATAAACAGCAAGATGGTATAGACTCTTTTAGTTGATATTACAGCTTACATGAAATATTAATCTTACTAGAGACAATTTCAACACAATAGCTGTTCAACATTTTTAGAAATGACTGGCGACTTATCACTAAATATTAATTGCTTTAATAACACGTATCTGTATGTCAGTACACTCTACAAAGTTTTCTATCATTATTTATTACAATTCAGTTTATTTGCCACCTAATCCACCCCCAATTCTTAAAGTTTTTAAGCATTTATTGATTGTGTAAACTAACTTTCAGTAGATAAAAAAACACCTAAGAGTTCTTCCGGCTTTCAGATGTTCCACAGCAAAGACAGACAGTAGATCACATTAATGTATCTATATGATATAAAACCTAAATATGTACCCTAAGAAAAATTAATATACACACATCAGTAACACTTTCAAAGCTGAATGGCTAAAAACTGAAAGTTTTTATTCCTGGCAAATGTTGTTGATTCAAAACTTCGTATCTTAAAAGTTATAGCAATATAAAACCTGCTTCAGACAAATATAAGCAGGTACTCTTTAACTTCTCCTATCTTTCGTGAGAAACTGATGAGTAGCTTAATTATACATATTCTTGATGTAAGCATCAGAATGGTTTCTTGGTTAACAGCTATAAATCTACCCCTAAGTCACAAATATTCATACACAACTATCCATAAAGGCATACTTCTGTGCAGCTGCATGAAGACATGCGGTCTCAGAGAGAATGAAGGAGTTGATTTGATTTTTCCTTAAAAATTCCAGATGCTTTTTCAGAAAGCAAATGAAACAAAAACAGATTTCACAGAAAACAACAGGAATGGCATATACAAAGAAAGTTAATCCAAGATTGGTTCCACAGCCAGACTCATATTCACTGCATTGAGCTTTGAGCTCATTACGTTAAATTTGACTACCCTAATTTAATTCCTAATATATTGACTTGTTTCAACTACCATTCCGGCTTACGCAGCTCATGAGAGCCTAAATTTGCACCTATGCAGAATGAAAAAAGATTTGGATTGATAGTCCTTCCCAGGTCTGACCTTCCCGACTCCCAATCTTTCACATCTCCTACTCTCAGTAAAACAATTTTATTATCTTTAACATTCACAAAACAGGTGACTGTAATCAGTTCCCACATACAAGTGACTTACAGGCAGTATTTTCTTCAGGCCACAACGTAAAAACTCGTTTCTCAAGTGTATCCTGAAATCAAGGTCTTCCGGAAATGTAACAAGGGCATTGATGAACTGCATACATGCTACCTATTATCAGAAATATAGGCAAAAACTTTTAGTATGTATAGATTGAAAACAAACACTGTCTTTGACTATTTCAGTTAAATTATAAAACTAAATGTCAAGAGATGGATATTATTTATTATGCAGCACACATGCAACACTGATTAACTTAAGCAACATCAAATACTGCTCTGTTTTCATATTGTGAGTGCTTCTGCTATGTCAAAATTGTATCACATAAAGGATCATTCTTTATTTCAGGAAGTTGTTTCCACACTACTGTTCCACATTGCAACTCGTCCTTTCTCCTCAGTATTTGCCAGTTTGAAAACAACTTGGTTTTACAGTAATCCAAAATTTAAAAAACATCAAAACCACCCCAAAACCACCCATACATGAAATAATTCACATCACCAGGTATCTTCTCGATTCCTGTACAACACTTTTGCAAACTGCCTGAAGTCTCAGGATACTGGTTAATGCTTTAATTGAACAGCTGTGCACTTTAATTGATTTACTTTAAAACAGGTAGACAATAGCATAATGCCAAAAGTGCTGATCCACATTAAAAGACTAAAATAGGACTCCAGGGAAATACCAACTTTGGTAAAAGATCTTAACTGCAAATAGAAGTAGCATTAGAGTCGAAAAAATAAATAAATAAAAATCAATAGCTGCAGAGAATAAAAAAAATCAGATAAAAGTACCCTTCCTGTTTTAATTACATTCACTATTTAGTTTTAATGGAACACCTTATGGAGTCTTAAATTTCTATTAAAACACCCTTTCAAAGGCACTCCCTTTATATAGCTGCATCTTCAGATAATGTACTATCATCACGCTCGCTTGAATCATTCTTGTTATTTTACTACTATGACATGACTTAACAAGCCAAAGTACATGTCCAATCCGAAATTAATAGAGAGAAGAGGTGCCATCTGCCACAATTGCTTTTGCCAGAAGAGACTCTGGCTTAATGGCTTGTGCTAATACATTACAAGTAAAGAACAATTTTGTCAGAAACAAGTTAATGAGTCTTGCAATTGTACCTTTACTGACATGTAAGTGTGGTTTCCAGTGTGGGGGGGAGAGGAGTGGTGTCTGCAAATTTTGTGTGGTTGTTTTTCACTGTTTTGAATCAAAGTGATAAAGCAGGAGACAACTACAAAATTAATTTTTTGTGATAGTGTTATTAAGATTAGAGTATCATTTAAAGAAATTTATTGAACACCATTAACTTGTCAGCTCTGAAACAAGAACTATTGATGGTAAATACAGTATTAGGACAACCATAGCTAACATATATGTGATCTAATAATGTAAAGAGGTATGCCCTCGATGCAGGTATACCTGCCCTGCTTGCATTCTACTTTCCCATATCTTTCAGCCACAGTAGCTCAAATACCCACAGGGCCACAGCACTGCAGTTCCTGATGTAATTTTTTTCAACATATCACTTGGTATGAAAAGTAAGCACCCCCTGCACAAAAATAGTTACATTAAGCTATGCATCTACCTTCAGCTGACTATAAAGTTAGTATACTGAAGGTGAAAGCTATCAAAAACATACTTGACACTGATCAGTTTTCAACTGTGGCTTATTTCTGTTTAATGTAAGACAATGGCTGTGTTAAGAGGATAGCTATTTTGGATGATATTGAGCTTTAAAAATCTAAAACTAGCAGTTTTACTCCCACTCAATTCTCAAACTGCTAAATGATTAATGAATGATCACTGTCCTTGTGTCATTAATTTTTTTTTAAAAAGTCAACCATTCAATTTACCAGAGAGAGGCTAGGATTTAACCTAAGTTGTCAATACCAAGGAGAATGATAACAGTTACCAAAATCATTCATAGCCAAATAAAACTTTTGACTGCAGTTCGCAGAAAACTTCAGTACAAAAGAACCCTTCAAAATACTTAACTATTTTAAGAAGATCTATGCTTATCTAATTCTTCGTTCAGCAATATTAGAAAAAGGTGAACAATACTGTAAGTATGTCCCTGCCACAGTTACTTCAAACAGTAAGATACTTGAAGTGTGTGTGCTCAGTTAAGGCATTCCAGTTGTGGTACTAAATTAAACTCAAATACCCACTTTAAGAGCACAAGACAAACTACTTCTGTCTTTTTACAAATATATTACTTCAATGGAATCAGTTCAAAGCCATAAGTATAGGAGTTTTTCTTTACTTTGGGTGGGGCAAACCTGGGGGGAAAGGGGGTGTTTAAACAAGCAATGTAACTTAGGAGTATTTTTTCATGCTTCTTCCCTAAACCCAAAGGATACACAGGGAGCACTACCTCCAACTCCTTCAACTCCACCTTCCTCAGGGATCCAGTAACTATAACTACAACAATTCAGAGAACAGACTGAGAGCTGGATTTTTATTCGTCCATTAAACCACACAAAATTCCCAGTCAAGAAGATTAAGCAGTGAAAAGATAATGAAAAGCTTTCACAGATGTATTATCTGAGCATTACATCTCACATCTAAGAAGAGGAATATCACTAATCATTCTCTTTTTATTAAGGTCAAGACTTATTACTCCTATTTTTGGGACAAGGAAGTGAGTTTCTTGGTTTCACATCGTTAAACATTAGAAAAATCTATTATCAACAGGCCATTTCTATTCATTTTTCCTCTTTTACTGAACATTGGAGTAATAACACTAGAAGATTTTGCTGGTAAACAATTTAAAAATCATAAAACAATACACAGTCTTCTAATATTTTAGATTATATCTTAAGTATTAGTAAGCATAAGTAAACCCACCTGCAGCTGTAAGAATTCATGGTTTTCCAGTCCTTCAACAATCTGAGAAAAACGTTCCCTATTGTGCCTTTCAGCAGCAGTTGTTATAGCACCTAAAAGCTTGTCCAGACTAAGAGAAAGATAAACTGTCAAAAAGTATACCACAGCCAACTTTCTCATTTTAAAGATACTTAGCCCACTATTTACACAACTGAGGACTTCAGCACACTGACAGAGAATCTGAAGACACTTATCTATATAAAGTTGAAAACAAACCAAGAATCAAATGTTAAAAACATCTACAAGATTAATGTTGAACTAAAAAAAGAAGTGAATAGATCTCTGAATTATTGTGACATTCAGCTAAGAAACAAGCAATAATGAAAAAGAAAAAAATCACTACCTTTGCAAGATGGTACTAGCTGACATGTTTAACATCTCGCAATTCTAACAAACTGTCTTTTCAGAAATCAAAATGTTTCTATTTCTTGCATAGAAGACATGGAGTTTGCCATTTCTAACCTTCAGTAAACTAAGACACTCAGTAGTTCAGAGCAAACGTATGACAACTGATTATATTGGTTTTAAAAAAAGACTCATGGACATGTGCTACATAACTCCATAATTTGAACTATTCAAAACTTCAGCTATAACGTAAACTCTTTGTCCCTGTCAAAATTTGTTATGTTTAGGTAGAGAGGTGACATTTTAATAAAATCCATAGATAATTTATTTATGTATTATTATCTTCTAAATGATAAATGATAAATTTTTCTAAAGAAAAATCTTAACATGTGGTGTTAAATAAATAATTTTCAAATATAGTAAATTCATCTCCCCTCCTCAGGGTAGATGTCCCAATCTCAATCCTCCCCACAATAATAGGCTCAGTAGTGCCCCAAGCCACATTGTTCTAAAGTGTCTTTAAATCTGACAGCTTTCCTTGTGGCAATTAAAAGTTCACAATTCCTGGTCATACTCAGAGATACATGAAAGAACTTGTGGGTTTTTTTCAGCAGCCATTTATGAACAGTTATGGCTCATTAAGTCTTCTCTTCTCTATAGTAAGCAATCACAGCCCTTTCAGACCTTCCACTTAAGTCACAGTTCGTAGCTCTATGCTCCTTTGCTTTTGTCTGATTTAATACCGGATTAATGCATCAGAAGAGGTGAAAGTCTCTTTTCATTTAAACAACATTAAGAAAGTAAAGACTTAGCAGGTTACATCTGTTTCACTGACAAGTTTTTTCACCTGTGTCCAAGCTGACAATCCATGAGCATTCACAAGAAAAAATTTGTTTCAGTATCTTACTTACAAATTTTCCTCTGCAACAATGCAGATAGCAGAAAGTATTTTCACTATTTCGGTCATCATGTGTGGTTGCTTTGGATCAACTGCTCTTGATAACAGCAAGAGACTTCTTTCATCTCCTAGAAACCTTTGCAATCCATACTTAAAGAAACAAAAAGTTTACAGTGAAAAGATTGCCTCAAATACTCATCATCATCTTCGGACTCCAGAGTCATAGGAATCCTCATGCTCCCTCCCCCCATACGAAGTTTGGCAACACTCTACTACAACCTTCTGGCTATTACCACTTGAGAACACAAGTCAGTCTTCCCGATCTTATATTTGAGGCTTTCTCCTAAGAAAGTGAATCAGCTCCAAGGAAGATACCATATCTTGTAAAATCAGGTATCTACCAAAAGACAAATCAGTTTTTATTTTCTATTAAAATCTGAAACACCTCCATGGTATTAAAAAATCATTCATTTTTTCCTGTAACTGTAACACCCCTGGTAAGTTGAAATAATATTTTCCACACAATGACCAATAGAGGTTGAAATCATTTTCTGAAACAACTATCTTTTATTTATTGTATATTCTATTTCACTTTACGTACAAATAAGTAAAAAAAAAAACTTGCACATTGGTGTTATTTAAAAGTACCATTAATTTTCATTAACTACAGGATAGTTGGTAAATCAGTTATGTGATTGTTTGAAGTTACACTGTAAGTGTAGGAATAGCAGGGGGGAAGCATGTGACCATTTAAGTTTACTTTTCCCACTCCAACAGACAGGCTATTTCGTGAGATTTCACTAAACTGAGTAACAGTAGTTAAAAGTAACTTTAAT